CAGAGAGCACTGAGGACCCCACAGTCCTCCTCCTCCTCCTCTCATTCTCCTCCTCCACAAACTCCTTCCTTCTAGCCCTGATGGCATTATCTAGTTGGATAATGAAATGTCTCCCAAGAAAATATGGAAGCTCAGAAAGCACCAAGTTCTCCACAGTCGTCGTCCTCCTCCTCCCGTTTTCCTTTTCCACAAACCCCCTTCCCTTCTAGCCCTGATGACATTACCTAGTTGGGTAACGAAACGACTGCAAGAAAACAAACCCTAACCCTAACCCACAACTCATGCTACTTGAGCCGTGTGCACATGGCACACATATTCCGGCCAGCCAAACGCCCAATTCCGAATAGGCCCCAGCCCGATAGCGGGCCATGGCCCTGGGGTTGGGGGACCCCTGATCTACAAGACTGGAAGTTTCCATCAAAACGATGACAGCAGTGCCACACTGCTGAACACACCTTTTGTGCAGGCATGCAACGTCACAAGGCGTGCTCAGAAGGCATGCATCAGGCACATCCTGGGACTGCTTTTCAATCTTGCTTCCCTTGCATATATGCCCATCCCATAATAGATTGCTGCCTGTAAATATGCTGTCAATATGCGGTCAGCAACGTTGGATAATGGCTCTCCATTAAGTGTAATCAATCCAAAATGGTCTTCCAGACACAACCTATCATTATAAGCATGGTACTTAAGAGCTAAATTTACTATTATGGCTCTTGACCAATAACCTTAAAGACGATGCATTTTAATAAAGGCAGATTTCAACCATTCATTGTCAAGTGATAAAGTTTCTTTTGATAAATACAAGGAGCAGGAGACGTGAATTTTACTAGTCCTAGTTGCTTCTGTGCTTGATCAATTTCCATCCGTTGCTTCTTGTCCTACCTTCAGGTGCTCTGGAGAACAAGCTGACCCCCTTCTTCTTTGTGGCAGCCCATTAGATATTGGAATATTATAAATATACAGATATATCTATAACTGTTGATTGGAAATCAATGTTATTTACCCAGAGACTCCATAACCTAAAAGCTCATCTGATGTGAAGGATGTTGGCAGCTGGAGGAATAATTCACAATGGGTTTACTTACGCACATCATATTCTACAAAGAATTTCATACTTGGATATCCAAGGCACCAAAATGTGACTTACCACAGTATTTGAGGAGTTATAGTCTTCTGCAGATTTATCTGGAAGAAAAACGGAATCGCGTCAGATAATTAGGCATGTCATCTCATTAACGCCAAGAGGCCCACTCAAATCAAACTAGCAAAAAAGGGGCACACTGGAACTGAAATTTAATCGTTCAGATCCACACCTAAGTTTGGGCTCCAGAGGCTTTTGCACTTACCTGACCTCCAAAACGGGCCACGTGGAGACTCCAGTTTGCCAAACCGGACATAAAATTAGCTACCGGATGAACCGGTAGCTGGCCACCCCTGGTCTTAAGTCATGCAGTGAATGATCAATCTGCATCTAAGATACTGTCTTTTAAATAGCCAGTATTTTTATTCAGGTATTTTGAATTCAGACCTTCAGACTTCTAGTTTTGTTGTTGCTCAGTTGTCCCAAACATTACATCAGTTCTCAAAGCTGCTCTAATTTCGAGAATGATGACTGTGTTAGCTACCGTACACGAAAGAGCAACAAGTTTTATTTTGGGATTAGATCTCATGAAAGTACTTCTCTGCACCAGATGGAGGATGGATCATTGTGAATAAGAGTGGGAGGAATGATAAAAGTTAGATAACACCAAAATTAAACACAAGACGCCAGAGACAATGATAATTAGAGGTAGTCCTCCAGCTACAATTGCAATAGAGCCCAAAATTTCTGTTGCTAATCAAGACAGTTGTTAAGTGAGATTTTCCCCATTTTACGACCTTCCACGCCAGAGTTGTTAAGTGAATTTTGCAGTTGTTAAGTTCATAACATGGTTATTAAGTGAATCTGGCTTCCCCATTGACTTTGCTTGTCAGAAGGTCGCAAAAGGGGACACCAAAACCGTCATAAATATGAGCCGGTGGCCAAGCATCCAAATTTTGATCATGGGAGCATGGAGCATGCTTCCATAAGTGTGAAAAAATGATCATAACTCTCTTTTTTTCAGGGCCGTTCTAATTTCGGTCGGTCACGAAACAAACCGTCGTAAGTCAAGGACTACCTAAATTTATTCTTTAGCTGATTGGCCAAGGTCAACACAACTTTCTCTGGAGTTCTCAAAACATGTGAAGCCTACCAAGGCCCACCTAATCTATCAAGGCCCACCTAATCGTTTCCACAAGAACAGCCTTCCTGATGCCACCTAAACAAGGTTACCTACCTGTGAAACTCATGTATTTCTGGCTGTTTGAGGTCTTTTTGGAGTTGTAGAACTCGAGAACGTCTAGGACGGCTTGAGGATTCTTCTTTTGCTCCAGTTTAGTGATGTTGGACGTCTGGAGCAAGCGGGCCCATTGTTCCGGCATGCCCTGGAAATAATAATTATTCAGAAAGAACGATTACCATTGTCTCTGCTGCTATCCCATTTAACGTGCTGCTTGAACCCACCCAGTTAACTGCACACCAGAACAACTAGACACAAGGACAGTTTTGCGATGACCCAAAGGGGCGTGGCACAAAAGCAACAAAGTCACAAAAGTAGGTAAAGTCCCTTTAATTCCTCCAACTTGGCCTCCAATGTCCAGTTATCATCGGCTGGAGAAAAAACCCTCCCAAGAACAGTTTTTAAAGGGAAAGAATTTAGTCCGAACCCAAAGTACATACAAATTATAAATAAAAACCAACACAAACCACAAGCTGCAGCAATTAACGAGACAAGGCAGGATAGAAAATTGCAGACTTCAAAAGATAATGAAACACATACAGTTGGGAGGATGCCAAAACCCAGATAGGACTTGACAAACAAAGATAATGCACGCTTTGCTTCCAGCAAGGTTCTGTGCGCAAACACTCTCTTTATCCTGTTTTCCAGGCTGCAGCTAATGAAGGGAATCAGGGCCTTTTTCTCCCCCATAAGCCACGTTTCTCCCTTCTCCCTGCGTGCCCTAAGATGAAGAGGGGGTGGGCCTGGGTTTTCCTCTGAATGCCCAGCCGGACTGTGCCCTTCCCTAGTTTCCTCCCCAGCCACTGGAGCCACACTCCCTGTCAGCTGTTCGACTCCCCCCTCCAAATCAGATTCCAACAGGGGCATGACAAGTTCCCCACCCCCACCCAAAGGCCATCACTCTGCTAAACTAACTCCCACAACACTGTCAAAATTACTTAGTAAGTCTGTGTTACTACTATTCTTCTCATCCTTCCTGTTACCTATCTCTTCCCACTTATGACTCTAACCGTGTTGCTCGTATCTTTACAATTTATATTGTTTTATTTGTTTACCTAGTATGCTTTGATTGCGTATTAGTAACCTATGTATTTGATTGCTTATAGCAGTGACGGCTAACCTTTTCCATGTCACATGCCGAAAGTACATGCATGTGCATGCACTCATGGTGGAATGCACACGTGACCCCCCTGCGCATGCCTATGCAACACCCGGCACGCCTCTGTGCATGTGCATGTCTCTCCCGGCACGCCACGCGCCTCTGCGCATATATGCGCATCTCCCCCGCACATCCACAGCAGATACCCAACAATTAGCTGGCTGGTGGGGGGAGAGCATTCATGCACAGTGCGGCTCTTCTGGAGCGGCCTCTTGCGTGCCGGCAGAAATGGCTCTGCGTGCCACTTCCAGCATGCGTGCCATAGGTTCGCTATCATGGGCTTATAGTAACCTAGGAGTATCACTAAGTGTTGTATCTTATGATTCTTGATGAATGTATTTTAATTTTTCTTATGTTCACTGAGAGGTTATGCACCAAAGACAAATTCCTTGGGTGTTCAATCACACTTGGCCAATAAAGAATTATATTCTATTCTGTTCTGTTCTGTTCTATTCTATTCTGTATTCTATTCCTTTCTATTCTATTCCATTCTATATTCTATTCTATATTCTATTCCATTCCATTCTAATTCTATTCTAATTCTATTCTAATTCTATTCTAATTCTATTCTATTCCTTTCTTATTCTATTCTATTCTATTCTCCATTCTATTCTATTCCATTCCATTTTAATTCTATTCTATTCTATTCTATTCTATTCTATTCTATTCTATTCTATTCTATTCTATTCTAATTCCATTCCATGCCATTCTAATTCTATTCTATATTCTATTCTGTTCTTATTCCCAATGCTATTCTATTCTATTCTTTCTTTTCTATATATATTCTATTCTCTATCTATTTTCTATTCTATTTCTTTTTCTATCTATTTCTATTCTATTCTCTGCAGCCAAAGGCTGTTCTTGGAAGAGTTTTTCTCCAGCCCAGGAGGTAACCAGGAAATTGGGGGCAAAGTTTGGAGCTAATAAAGGGATTCCTACTTATTATCTGGCTGTGTTGCCTTTGTGCCACGCCCTGGGCCCACACAGTAGCTTTGAACATTTCCTAAATGAATGGTTATAAGTTGAGGACTACATGTATATGATCATTGAAAATTGTAAAAAGAAAAAAGAAAACTTCAGTGAATTTTTCTTTTAACTGGTGAAGACAATCAGCCAAGGAAGAAATGATGTCGTAGGACCCACGGAGTTTACACAGCTGTTGTGATTTGTACCACAAGGTTATTCCACAACCAACAGCATCATGGACTACACTAGAAGTAAAGCCTGCCATCTGTCAGAATTCCGGCAGTTACTCCAATTAAATCATGAGCCTCAAGCCACACTCCCAAAACTTCTTTTCTTGTATTAGAAGTTAACATGCCGGCATTTGCCTGGGCCTAGCTGACTCTGAGATACATAATTCACTGTCACCCTTGATCCTATTTTCCCCACCTCACCCCTCTGGGTGTATCATCCAATGAAAAAAAAACACGTCCATAACAATCAATCATCAATCATGCCCTCAATCATGCTCTCCAATTAGATTTTTTGGGGGGCAGTAGCTTCAGTCATCTAATCAGTCTTTGAAGAAAATATGAATGGAATGTACTTTCGATTCCACACTGCTGCCTGCTCTTTGAAACTCCCCCCACCTTCTTTCTGTTGACAACTATAAAACAATATGTTTTATGAGCTGACACCATCCTTACTGTAAATTCGCCTGTCACTGCGTCAAATCCAACGTGGATCGTGTGTTCAAAATCTGACGGGAGAGAGATCTCTGGCCGTTCTTTCTCCTTTTTCTTGTTGGCTGTCGTGGAAAAAAAGAAACCGAATTAAGCAAAATAAAATTAATCAGGAGAATTATTACTTCTGTAATTCAGTCAAAAGACGGACAGATATGTAGATGCAAGCATTTCCTATTGACTCATCAGTACCTACCTTACAAGAACACGGTTAAAATCAGCCTCAAATGTGAGATCTAGCAAGAGCATTAATTAATTAAACCTATAGGCTTAATTATTTAATGCTCTTGCTAGATCTTATATAGGCTTAATTAATTAATGCTAGATCTTATAAAGTCTTAATGCTCTTGTTAGATCTTATATAGGCTTAATTAATTAATGCTCTTG